CAATTACCCTTACCTTTAAATTGTCTTCAATACACCCCATGTTAAATATCTCAACCAATTCACCAAAGACCAAAAATATATGTTAAAAAGCCATACCTTGGGAATGTAAAGAGTCTACCTACTGTGGATGAAAAGGGGCCACATGGTAACCTGAGTAGCTCAGGGAAGGCTTGCATGGCAGCCTTGCAAACTCAGACCTAAAGTAACCACAAAGGGATGGTCTGAAATTAAAGTTCTTTTAACTAAAAAGCAGTTTATGGTGGATAGTTATGTTCTATGCCAGTATCTTCCCTGACAAAGGTCAATCTTTACCTTAACTGAGCCCGTCTATTGTCTTTTTGCATCTACGATGACATATCGTTGTAATGTCAAAGTAATTTTCCTTTTTCCGGACCCCTCAAAGCACAGGCACCTCTCTGTTGAGACCACAAATCCCCTCACTGTTACTGAGTTAACTGTTGACTGTTAACTATCCTGCATCCAGCTAAGTAAAAGAAGCGTGTGTCCATCATTTCACTTTTATCCAATCCCAGAGGTTTCGCCACTTTGCTTTCTCCCGCCTCCCTAATCTATCACCAATGGATTTCATGTAACCACTTACGTCTCCTCCTTTGATTGTCATGTATAAAACAAGGTGCAGAGCTGCCATTCTCCGGAGCATTATCTCAATCCGTTGAGATTCTGCTTCTCAGCATGTCGACAGTTTGGCTCAAATAAACTCACAAAAGTTCTTCACAGGTTTGAATGTTTCTTACGTTAACACTACATAGAATATACATCTCTCCAAGTTAACCTATCGATTTAATGTAATTCTAATCAAATCCCTGCAGAATGGCCAATTACAAGATTGGGAACTTTCTCAAAGTCAGCAGTAACAATTTAGAAAATACAATGGGAAAATATTTGTATTCATAAGTAACACAGAAAATGGAATTGTGATGGGATGTTTATAAAGAAAACCATACAGCTTTTCAGGGGCTAGAGAAGTGAAACATGAACCAAAGGAGAAGCACAACATGTTTCTGGTCAGAAAAACTCAGATACTGTAAAGGTGCCAGGTATTCCCAAACTAAAAGATAATACATGAAACTCTCATACAAATCAATAAGAAAACAGCTGAACAACTCAATAAAAACAGGGAAATGGGCCAAAGGAAATAAAAGAGTGATTAACACAAGAAGAAGAGCATCCAGGCGATAAAGATATAAAAAATTATGAAGAGTGCTCAGCCCAATGGGAACAGGAGAGCCACCAGGCTGCATTTCTGGGGTAAGGTAATAATCTGTATTAAAACCTCAAAAACCTGCAGTTTTGGCTGAAAAACTTCACTTCTAGAAATTTACCCTAAGGAAATAACCAAATAAGGGCCCGACAATGTTCATTACAGCTTTATTTTTAATAGAGAAGACAGGAAAGGAGGAAACTTAAATGTGAGCGACTGTTTATTACCTGGATAGGGACTGAAAGAAGCATTTGCTGTACTTCTGTGAACAAAATTCATCCCTTAAGAAAATGTTTAAAAATCACTGCCATCCTCTTCTGAATAACTCTGTTACTTCAAACTTTCTGTAATCATCTTTCATTTAAATAATAACTAGGTAGCCTAAAATTAGGTATATAAATTAGGTACATCTAATCTACACAATGAAATGTTATTAATGCATATTCAATGATCTACACTTACATATATGGACACTCACAGGGGGAAAGCAGGTTTTAAAATAACATGTATAGAATAGAATTTATATTTTTTATAAATATACATATTTTGTACTCATTTTTCTAGGAAGGTCTGAAGAACATACACAAAACATTAACAATGGTTATGACTTGGGCAGTAGGACTGTTGAGTCATTTTTATTTTCCTCTTTTCAAATATCTGTATTTTATCAAGTTGCTAAAATTATTATATATCCCTTTAGTTATAAGAAAAAATAAACAATATAAATAATAAGTTGTTTAAAGGAAGAAGAGAGGAGTGACTGACATGAGTTCAGGTGCTCATGTGACAAAGCACAAGCAGCACCCTTCTGCCCCGAGCTGTGAGCCGCACAACAACCAGGACGCCAGCTCCCCCAGGGCACGCGGGGGACAAGCGAAAGCACTAGCCTGCGGCCACCTCCTGGTGTTCACGGAATTCTTCAATCAGTCAGCCATTTGCCGGTCACCTCCCCGGGCCAGGCACAGTGCTGGAAAGGCTACTTTAAACACATGGCCTGGTGGGCATGGCTCAGCGACTGAGCATCCACCTAGGATCCAGGAGATCGGGGTTCGATTCCCGGTCAGGGNCGGGCATGGCTCAGCGGCTGAGCATCCACCTAGGATCCAGGAGATCGGGGTTCGATTCCCGGTCAGGGCACGTGCCCGGGTTGCGGGCTCGATCCCCTCGATCCCCAGTCAGGGGCGTGCAGGAGGCAGCCAATCAATGACTCTCTCACTGATGTTTCTATCTCTCTCTCTCCTTCTCCCTTCCTCTCTCTGAAATCAATAAAGATATATTTAAAACACACACACAAAAAGAAAAAACATCTGGGAAGGGGATAGGAGGGTAGTAAAGGGTAAAGGGGGCCAAATACATGGTGACAGAAGATGATGTGACTGGATGGTGGGCACACAATGCAATACACAGATCATGTATCACAGAAATGAACACTTGAAACCTATATGATCCTATTAACCAATGTCACCCGAATAAATTTAATTTAAAAATAAATAAATAAATAAATAAATACATCTGTTCAGAGGCAAAATGCATTTGTTGAGTTAGGGTGGTTTATGTGTGTTAGTTTTTCATAATTACAATTTTCACTTACTACTGCCGTGAGATTCTGCACATCCTATAAGTGACTTCTCATGGAGCATCACTGTCTCTTTCTCCACCCCCACCTACAAGTGCCCTAAATTTGGGGGCAAGGAGGAGTAAGGTCACAGAGTTAGACCCATAGTGCCTTTAAATTAAAGGATGCTTGAAAGCATCACGTCATGACACTCTATTCAAAGAGGCAACTCAAAAACCAGCAGTGCCAGGAACATGTGCAGATCACTCTGCGTTCAACAAGCCCAAGGAGAGGATGGGGCTGTTCAGATCAGTAGCGGTCGTCTTTGAGAGAGTGGCTGGGGTCCCTCCGGGCTCCATCAGAAGATGGAGCACCCTACTGATCAGACTCTCCCTCCCTCTGCAGCCAAATACCCTGGCAGCTTCCCGGTGGCCTGTCTCGTGGTTTGGGCCTTCTGTGAGAAGCCTCACGGACGCCCGTTACAGAAAGCCAAGGAAGCAGCGAGCCCGCAGACATGTAACACCTCATAAATCCTGCTCATGAATTATTGAGTAACTTGTCCATTACAGGTTTTAATATTTTAGGCAAGCCAGATTTCTAGAAGTAATACAAGATCCTTTACATGAATATGGAAGTTGGGAGAACTCTATCTCACCCTTTTCTTACCTAGACAGGATAAAAAAAGTTTTAGTGAAGAAATTCCCATTTTATATAAAAGAAGAAAGGTTCCCTCCCACCCCCCTCTCTAGAGCTAGATCAACACAAACATGTTAGGTCTGGTAAGACCATTAATAAGTAGAGCTGCAGCTACCTATGATAGGAACGAACACTACTAGTGTAAATTTAATTAAATACAATTATTTTTTACTTGCTACTTTCTATGTGCTAGACACTATGAGCTTTATAAAAGAGAAATGCCTTCTGTCCTCCACAGCTTCCAGTCAAATAGGAGACACAGATATGGACATAGATAATTTCATTTCAAGATGAGTTTGATACCTCTAATAACAGAGGAACAAATACTGCATTATAGTGGCTCCAGGCACAGGCTCTGGAGGCAGGCTGCCTGGGGTGGAGTTCTGGTTCTACCCATCACTAGCTATGTGACCTTGGCAATTAACCTTCTTTACCTCAGTTTCTTCGTCTATAAAAGCTATCTTGTAGGATTATTGTGAAGGCGGCACGAATGGAAGTGTTATTAACATTGGTATAATTATGAGCATATGAGGTAAGGATGGACTGACTGACAAGGGCCTGGGAAAGCCCTCCAGAGAAATGGAATCTGTGGCCAAGTTCTGCATCACGGTAAGGGTTTTAGTGTGCAGTGATAGGAGAGAAGGGCACTTCACAATTAATGATTAGCCTGAGCAAAGCCTGGAAGTAGCAAGACCGGGGTCAATGATAGCTAAGTGGGCTGACGCTGTGGCTACAGGACCAAGCATCTGAACTGTGGGGGACATGGGGGGGATAGGGAGGGAGGCAAAAGAAGTGACACTGAGAGAAGGCAGGGTGACATGTGACTGGAAGAGATGATAAATGCCAGGAATATTCTGTAGCAAACAGTCCAAGAAGCAGGGTATCAGTGATAAAGAACACGGATTCTGGGTTTGAATCTTGGCTCCACCTCTTGAGAGTTGTATAACCTTGGAGAAGATACCTCATCTTTCTGTACCTCTGTTTCCTCACTTGTAAAACGAGTATGTTGAGGATTAAATGACTGTATATATGTGATGTATTTAGTAGAGTGCCTGGCACACAGTGACATTCATAAGTGTTTGCTCTTAAAAGGTAGAACACTGGCTTATGGCACCTCTTTCTGCCACCCTGACAGACCTGCAGAAAATTATCAGCCACTGCTATGGGCAATGACAGGTGTAAGGCTGCTTTTCGACTGTTCAAAAATACCACGTGAAATAAATGTTCTCTTTTAGACACAAGACTCCCATGGCCCATGAAAAAATGTTATCTCGCAGGACAGACAAAGACAAAGCTGGCGCTAAACGTAAGCATACACACTACTAGGTGGCATGACTCTGAGTTCGTCCAAGACTTTATCAGATCACCGTGGCAATGCAAAGTGGCAGAATGCACCATTTAGGAGAACATGAGATCTGTGCTCACTTTTGAATGATGGCAAAGGTTTTAATGTGAGTGGTGGGAGGGAAGGGCACGAGCTAAGAGTATAGTCACAATTGGTCAGACAATCCCTCGGCAAGAACTTACTTCCAGATCCATCCTTGACTCTAGGTCCTTCAGGCTTGGCTTCGGAAATCACATTTGCATTGGCATTATTTTCCATCTCGATCACAAAGTCACTGTCCTCCTCAAACTCAGGGTGGCTAAAGATCCAATCCAGTGCTCTCTCCAGGTTACTGTTCTAATAAGATAAAACATTTTTACAATGTATGTGGTCTCCAGGCGTCATTATATCCTGACCATTTGAACCGGGATGTCAAGCAGCTAGGGCAGGAGCCTGAATCCATTAGTCCTAAGTGTTTTCTGAGTAAGAAGCTCTGACTCTGCATATAAAATGCACCTGGCATTCTGCAAGCCTCCCAACTGAGATCTGAAACTAGATTCACTGGAAAGCAGTGAGCAGCAGATCAGCATTCCAAAGCCATGCTGGTCTTTGCTCAGCATTTCTGTAGGCTGATGCTGATAATGACAGGGTGCAGAATGCCAAAAAGTATGGCATTTGTCTGGGCACAGCCCTTCTAAGGCCATAATAATTGCACACACTACATTCTCTACCAACTGTATTTTCTGCAGATAACCATGCCAGGTAAAAGAGTGCCAATGTAAGTACTATATTAATGTCTTCTCTCCCCAAACGCTGGCACAATGGTTGAACTACAGTAGAGACTAAATTAATGCCTTGATTAATGATGATAACACTGGTTAGTTAAGTTAAATTGTTTTAAACAGGCCTCCATACAGTTCAAACCAATTGACCAGAAAAACATATCCTTCTCCCTGTTTGATATTACTGGAGAGGTAAAACGTTTATTTAGACATAGAATCTCCAATGAAAGAGCCAAGCAAGTAAAATAAATAAGACATACGCAGGTACACTGAGTGAAACAAACGCTAACTGAGATATTTCAGTCGAGAACCATGGGACCTCAGCAATGCACCCCAGCGGGGAACCAGTCAGGATAGGCAAGAAGGCATCGGTAGCAGACAGCCACTCAAAAATGGAATATAGTGTGGCAAGGAAAGATGGGTTAAAACACACACACACACACACACACACACAAAAGTACTTTCCCTCAATATTAAACAGAGATCTGCACTGCAAAAGGAAGGCTTCTATCTATCCTCTAGCTTCACGGTGCCTGCTCTCCTGACAATATCGGAAAATTCATAAATACCGAAAGAACCTTCTCTTTTTGCAGAGAGACACAGAAGCAGAGAATTCCAAGGGGCCGTTCAGTCTTCACTGAGGACTTTTGGTACCAAGGTCTTGGTATCAGCAAAGGATAATTTCTCCTAAAGAACTGCCTTACTGAACACAGAATCTCGTGCATCCCTCTTTGCTCTAAGGCCACAGGACACTCCAAGTCAAGTCTCTGGTCCTCTGTTAATAACATTAAGATGATATGGAGTTTCTTTCAGTTTGGTCATCTTGCCCCAGCTGTATTAGCTCCCTATTTTTCTCTTATCTCCCTAGTTTTAAACTCTTATGATTCCCTCATTCATTTATTTGAATTTTATATATACTGTATGCAAATAAATCTCCATGGGCCATGGTGGGGTACAGAGTGAGACAAACATGACCCCAAACGATGAAAGAACATTGGAAAGTCTTAATTCCTACTGACAACATACAAACCACCCCAATAATCCAACACACAGTCTCTTACACTTACCGTTGCTCGTAGCGCCTGAATGGCCTGATTCCGATGGAATCCCATGGAGGTAATGATAGAAACAGTCTCCTCCGGAGGCTGGTTATCCAACCCAGTAGCACCAAAAACAGAGGCTCCAGCAGAAGCTGCTCCTCCATAACCAGGCAACATCAATGGTTCGGCAAAATCTGGGGAAAATAATCACACTCAGACCTTTTTCTTTTTTTGGTCTTAAACACCACTTCAAAGTCAAGAAGGAAAAATACCTACAAAGTTACAATAATCAAGACAATCAATACCAGTATAAAGATAAACATATAGATCGATCGAATAGAATTAAGAGTCCAGAAATAAGCCCATATATCCATGGTCAAATGATTTTCAACAAGCCTACCAAGACCATTCAATGGAGAGAGGACAGTCTTCTCAACAAATGGTGCTCAATTTCATATCCACATGCAAAAGAGTAAAGGTGGGCCTCTAGCTCACACTATAAACAGAAAGTAACTCAAAATGGATCACTGACCTAGTAAGAGCTAAAACTACAAAACTTTTAGAAGAAAGCATATGAGTAAATCTTTGTGAGCTTGGGCTGGGTAACGGTTTCTTAGATACAACACCAAAAGCACAAGTGACAAAAGAAAAAAATAATAAATTATACTTCATCAAAATTAAAAACTTTTGTGCTTTCAAAGATGACATCAAGAAAGTGAGAAGACAACCCAAAGAATGGAAGAAAATATTTCCAAATCCCATATCTAAGGCACTTCTATTCAGCACTCAAAAAGAACTATCAGAACTCAACAATAAAAGACAAATAACCTCATTAAAAATGGGCAAAGGATTTGAAGAGACATTTCTCCAAAGATATATGAATGACCAATAATAAGAAAAGATGTTCTACATCATTAGTCATTAGGGAAATGCAAATCAAGACCACATGAGATACCACTTCCCATCCACTGGAACAGCTATAATAAAAGCAATAATACCAAGGTTGGTGAGGATACGGAGAGACCAAAGCCCTCAGACACTGCTGGTGGGATGTAAAATGGTGCAGCCACTGTTGAAAACAATTTTGTAGTTCCTCAAAAAGTTAAATAGAGAGTCATCATAGGACACTGCAACTCCACTTGAGAGAAATGAAAACTGTACACAAAATATTTATAGTCACGTTATTCACAATAGCCAAAAAGTAGAAACAACCCAAGTGGCCATCAACTGATAAAAGGATAAATAAAACGCAGTGTGTTCATACAGTAAAATATTATTCAGTCATAAGCAGGAATGAAGCACTGATATATAGATGAACCTTGAAAGCATTATGCTAAGTGAGGGAAACCAGACTCGAAAGATCTTGTGTTGCAGGGTTCCATTTGTATGAAATGTCCAAATTGGGCAAATCCATAGAGCCAGAAAGTAGACTAGCAGTTGCCAGGGGCTAGGAAGAGCTGGGAGATGGAAAGTGACTCCTCATGTGTACAAGGCTTCTTTTCAGGCGAGAAAAATACTCAAAACTTAGATAGTGGTGAGAGTTGTACAACTCTGTAAGTTTACTAAAAACCATTGAAATGTACACTGTAAATTATCTTAACAGAGAGAAGTAAAAGCTAACTAAACAGACCCCATGTCTTCATGCACATTTTTCTATTTCAAGTCCTCATTCCTCCTAGCTGGAAGTATATCCCACATCTTTCCAGTGGTCTTTTTGCTACTTTAAAGGCTGAATTATCTCTCAACCAAGCTATTATTTTAAAAGAAGAGGAAAGGCAAACCCTGTGATTTTGCTCCACAGGCAAACGTACCCCCCTCCCCCATTCACACACACACATTGCAGCAGACTGAGAGCTAAAAAGTCATTTTGGGGACAGATCCAGAAGACATGGAAGGACCATGGCTCGGCATCACTGAAGACTGCATCAGACTGCAAGACCATTCCATTTTCTGACTACCTACCTGGCTCTTCCATGTGAATAATGATCCAGTTGAAGGCGACCTCGGCTCCCATATTTCCAGTGAAGTACACAGCCTTCCGACACGCTTCCAGAGGGAAGCCCATCTCGGCCAGCTGCATCACCGACGACTCATCAATGTCCGAGGCTACAGAGCACAACAGGACATTCTGAGGTCAGAAGGTAAACTCCCTCCCTGTCTTAGCTTCTCTTCACCCTTTTATCCACCTGCTACCCAAAGAAACTGCTATTTTGTTAGGTGTACAAATGGTGGTTTAACTTTGTTCTGTTTTGTTTTAAGCCACCCAAATATTAAGCTATTTGAGTTGAGTTGACCTAAATCTTTGCCCTCAGTAGGAACCATGATAATCACCGGGACAGTCCAAGCACTGAAAAACAATTCTCTGATTGAGTGTATTCCCAGAACCATGTCATGCTCAAAGCCTCTACAGCAGCCTCTCCTACGACTGAGATTGGAAGAGAAGAGCATTATCTATAGGTCAAAAGGCCTGTTCCTTAAATTTCACAGGAAGGTATAGCAGGCCTGTAGGTGTATCAGCAATCAGAGGAAGTAATCAACTCTGGGAAATGGAGAGCCCAGATGTTAACAATAGTTCATCTGCAGAAAGGCTTTGTAGACAAAAATATTCAGAGTATTAGTGTTAAATACTCCCTCTTTCTCCTAATGAAAATCTATATATTTTTTAATTTTTTTTTTAGGAAACCAAGAGTATCAACTCCCACAGGATTAAAGGAAATAAAAAGCTACAACATTAACACACAATCCAATTAAACTAATAGCCTTGAGAGTATTAATTAACACTGCCATATCATCCGGTCAGACATGTGTCTTCATTATGTGTCCAGCATCAGGAGCATAAAAAAAATGACTGGCCACTGTGCTACCACTGCAGAAAGAATGACCCTCATGTGGCCGGAGGAAAGAAATGGCATCATTAGCCCCATTCACTCATGAGGAAACTGAGGCTCAGAGAAGTTAAGTAAATTGTTCTAGGTCCTAACTGGCAGAGCCACCTTCCAACCCAGGGCCGACTGGCTCTCATGCTAACGGTCACTCTCCTGAGCTACAGAGCCACTTCACCATGTCAGTGGTTTACACTGGCTACCCCAGCTCACAGACAAAGAATCATTTCCTCTGAGGAAAAGCTGTGTATACACACGTACAGAACAATCCCCTTTTAGTAACCCCCACAGATAAATGTGTCACACTAATAACTATAGGACACGGGAAATTTTCAGAAGATACATACGGTCTATCAGTTGGTTCATCAGGCGATCTGGAAATTAAGGGAGAGGGGATACAATGAGACCAAACCCTGACAAGTATTTTAGAGAAATAAAAAGAGCCAATGCAGGGCACTCCCTAGCTCCGTCACCCCTCAGGACAGCACATGGGTGTCAACCCCCAATCCACTGTACAGTCCACCCCATCCTGCCCAACACAAAGTCATGACAGTAAGGAGGGAAAATAGGAGGTCTCAGGCATTTAGAGCAGATGAAACATGATGCTCTGATTATTACTATAATGAAGTAAATCAATTCTCTCCGTGTATTTGTAAGAACTCTGTATGATTACAAGCCAACGATTCTATTATGAACCTCAGAGAAAGCAGGAGCCGTGCTAATCAGCCATCTTGTCCTTCTGTGATATTCATACTGATCTCTTCTTTCTTGAATGCCTTTAAGGAATCGCCTGTACCCATAACCCAGAATGTCCCACGTACAGGTCCCATACTCTGCACGTGAACATCGGACTTAGCATCAGAGGCCTATGGAACGAAGGCAGCTCTCTGGAATCCTATCTCGCTCCTCTTGGATTCACCTGGCCCTCCTGTGCATTCAAACTAGGTCGCCAATAACATTCGCTGCTCAACTGATGCTGAGAGCTCCATCACTGAGTTATTTCACTTAATTAACTCTTTCGGAAGGCNCTCAAACTAGGTCGCCAATAACATTTGCTACTCAACTGATGCTGAGAGCTCCATCACTGAGTTATTTCACTTAATTAACTCTTTCGGAAGGCGAACAGCACACGGGTGAGCAAGCAAAGCCAGAATGAAACTGATTTCGTCAGAATAAACGAGCTAATAATGGAACCAAGGTTTTTCGGCACTGCCCTTGGAACCACAAAGGTGTGACAACTATTTTTTCCATGTCCTTTCCCCTGCAAAAGTTAAGCACTATGAACAATGAATAACTGAGCTTTGACAGAGTGAGAGAAACTCAAACCACTCCCTTCCTATGAAGCAGTGACAGAGCTGGGGAGATGAGATGTGGGCAAGATGTTTAAACCCAACACACTGTTGAATTTCCCCTTTCGGTTGTCCAAAGGTACTCCAGGGAACNGGAGATGAGATGTGGGCAAGATGTTTAAACCCAACACACACTGTTGAATTTCCCCTTTCGGTTGTCCAAAGGTACTCCAGGGAACGACACGGTTCCCCTAGGCTAGGAGCCCCCCCTTCTCCCTTACAGGTCCTTTTGGGGGAAGTGGAGAGAGGAAGAAGGCAAAGCCAGAGGCAACCTAACCTAAAAAGTTTCTGGAGACTGGCTTCCCTCTGTTGCCAGTGATTTCCGCAGGTCCCTTTCAAGTGCTTGTGACAGCTCTGTGCCTCTTCCCATGTCTATCTTAAGTTTACGGTTGCAGCCAGGCCTCACTTCTGTGTGTCTATGGTGGGTTACAACAGAGGAAGGCAGCCAAGGGACAAGAGTGGTGGGAGAAATGTGACCATCCCAGCAGAGGAGGGTGGGGGCAGAGGGAGAGAACATCCTCCTGGAAGATGATACCTTTTGAGTCATCAGGAATGACAATGGGGGGGCTGATGTCCGGAAGTTCCTCCTCTCCTGGCTGTAAGCCCCTGGCTCGGAGATGGTTGATATCAAGTAGGTCTGGCATATCAATAGAAACATCTGCAAAATGAGAAAGATTACATTTACTGGTTTCTCCACAATCACATCCTAAAATCAGTACTGCTAACTATGTGCGTGTGTCTAGGCAGAGCTAAGGGAGGCGTTTCAGTTCCGCGGAGTAATCACTGAACCAGTATACTCACCAAGACTGATTCGATTTTAATGGAGAACCAGGAGAAACTACAGAGGGCGGCAGGATTTCACACTGAACAAGAACAAATGGGATGAGCCAGAGGTCGGAAACTGGCACCCCACAGGCCATTTGTAGCCCAGACGCTTTCTGTGTGATGTTTTTAAAATGTTAGCAACAAATTCCAATTTTTAAATCAGAAGATTTTAATTTAGAAATCCAGATTTCTAGCTTGTTTTGAAAAACAAAACAAGCACATTCTGTAGCACATTCTCATACGGTTGCCCTCTGTGACAGTCTGCAGACCTCACCGCTCCCTATTGCCCCCATGACCTGAGCATCAAATTTGTGCTATTCTGATTCTCAAAGTAGAAAAATGCTTTTCTAATCCATATCTTTATCCAAAGTGGATTAAGAAAGACGCAAGAAAGACCAAGATAGCTACAGGTCTCTTATACACAGCCCATTTCTTTAATTTACATTATCACCCTTTCCTCATTAGGCATTTGAGTTTTGAGTTTGTAACTCCTAATTTGTGCCTCTTCTCAGATCAAGATGAGTAATGTGATTTACCTGAGGTAATAAATAAAGAATGACATTTTAAAGAAATTAGCTGAATCTCAAGTCTTGGAGTACATTTTTTTAACTTCTCAGCTCAGTTGTTCTTGTGTTGACCTACTCACATACAAAACTTATCAGTCTAATATCCTGTTGACATTTAGTATCACATATATTTAAATATAATAACAAATGGGTTCAAATGTTGGTGTAGGATATGTGTCATAGGCTAGCAAACAGAACTTGAAAATAGTATTCCCAAAACCAGTTATGATGCCAGGTATATCAATCCTACTTTAAAACAACCATCCAAAGAAAAAGCTTAGTTAAAAAATGCTTAATCTCAGAGGACAGTAAGAAACAAACATAATGTCTGACCTACAAAACCAATACAAATGTTCCTCAACAGAAAAAGTCAGGTTCATCAAAGAAAGCTTTGGGAGGCCTTTAAATTCAGCAAATCTATGAAATCTCATCTGAATTTTTGTTCCTTTATAGGAATCCCAAGGACAAAGAAAAATAAGAAAACTGTTTCCAAAATAGTTTGAAGCCTTTAGAAGAAGTCCATTTTTTCCCAGGTACTTCTCAGGCCCACAGAGGAAAGGCTAAGTGATGGGCAACCTGCCCCCTGCCCTGCCCACAATATCATTCCACCAGGAAGAGTAAAAACCTGCCAGAGAATCAGTCACAGGTTGGGATGTCACACAAGTGCTGTGTAAACTGTTAGGACCGGAGGGTTCTGGGAAATCACTCCAGCCGATTTTCCATTCCTTTTATTCATCCCCTTCAGATGGGCAGATGAGTGCTTAATTAACCAAAATAAAGCCTGAATAGTTGTTTTTTAAGTGCTCAAAAACATAAAAACCTTAAAAGACTGGAAAACAGTCTGTACTTGTTTGAAAAACCACAGAGGGTAAAACTGGACATCCTTCTACACCACTAAAAATAGCCTAATAACACGCTTGGTATTAGATCATGATGGTAGGAAAAAATGTTCTTATGCACTGCCTGGAAAATTAACCTCTAACAATGGTCAAGGGCCTTTAAAATTAGCCAAAAGAAAGTCCAATTAAGCTCAAATCACATCCCTGTTTAATGCAACTGACTGTGCTCATTTTATTATTAGTAAGATGTGTACGATTTAAGAGAATGTCATCAGCGTGCTTCAGAAGCACAGGAGAGATGCTAAGACAAGAATACATCTTCAGTTACTAGACTTGCACCTCCAAGTGTGGCCTTTGGACCAGCAGCAGCAGCATCACCTGGGAGCTTGTAAGAAATAAAGAATCCCATGTGAAAGGGTCTTCTTTAAGAAGGAAAAAAATGGTGATGGAAGAAGACTTGACTTGGGGTGGTAAACACACAATACATTATACAGATGATATATTCTAGAATCTATCACATAATTTTATTAACCAATGTCATCACAATAAATTCAATAAAAAATAATAAATAAATAAAAGTAAAAAATAAAATATTCAATGATTTTAAAAAAAAAGAAAAAAATCCCAAGCCCCACTCAGACCAGCTAAGTCAGCATCTGCATTTTACCAAGGTTCCCAGGTAATCTGCATGCACCTTAAAGTTTGGGAAGTGGTTTATTTGATAAAGTGAGGTCCTGTTCTCATTCCTAGAATCCACTCACTCCAGACCCCATTATTAGAGGGGTGGTTTAGCATGTGGTAATTTTATCATCAGTGCTTATCATATACTGTGATTCAAAAGAGAATGATGGAAATAACAGAAAAAGAATGAAATGGAAATTTCTGGCAGCCAACCACTCATGGCTCTTTCACATGCCATGTTTTTTAAATGGCTAATTCGATGTTTTAAGCAAAAGCATGCAAAAGATACCTACCAAATTTTTTGGGAACCCAGTCAAGACCAAAAGTGAACTTCTTTATCTGCACTACCAAGTATTCAGGGAATGAGGCAAAGCGAGATGTTCTGGGAAACACAAGGGGATTATATCAATGAAACAGGCAGTAAGAATTGAGCACAGTTCATGAAGCATCCCTCTGTCTGAGGCATACATGCAGTTCCAGTAACTGGACTAAGTAGAGGAACAGCAAACAGACATAAGCGGACACACACTCACACACTCCTGCTCATTCATCCTGGCCTGTTTCTAAACGTAGGAGAAGGTCCTTTGAGAATGACTTTGGACCCATCGCCAAATTATTACTTTTACTTCGCTGTGGCATTTTATATTTCTGAAAAGTGATTTTCAACCATAAACATCAGTTTTCTCTAAAATCCTTGATGGAATTTAGTATATATATATTTGTAGGTGTGTGAGGACATGCATGCATTATGTGGGGGTTTTTTTACATTCAATATTATTTTGTGTTAGTTCCAGGTGTACAGCATAGTGGTTAGACAATCATATACTTTACAAAGTGTTCCTCCCAATATTTTAAGTACCCACCTGGCACTATACAGAGTTATTACAATATTATTGACTCTATTCCCTATGCGGTATTTTACATCCCCATGACAATTTTGTAACTGCCAATCTGTATTTTTTAACCCCTTTACCTTTTGCATTATGTGTCTGTATGTGGGGTTTGAAAAAGCTCCCCAAGCAACCCTAACACACTCCCACCTCTGCTCTCACCGAGAATCACTATCTTACAGCAAAGAGTTGGCATAGGAGGGATCTCTGGAACTCTCGATGAGGTTAGCTATTGGACGTGCCTCGGCCTCATTAAAATGCTATTGCACCTAAATCCAAGGTCACAAAAATCCTAGAGGTTATATATATGATGGGTAAGAAAGGCTGAATTGCCTGGACTTGACTTTGGCAATTTTATGCACAGATTATTCAATTTGTATACCTACTTCATGCCCTGATTCCAGGTCATTCTCTCAATTATTTATCATCCTGTTTATAACAATCATTTTTATTTCAGTGTTGATGTGAATGTGGTAGGTATACACAAAAAATAAAATTAGCTGTAGACAGGTACTATAGATACTTTCTAAAATAAAAAATTCTAGAACAGCCTCCCTGTAAACTCCACTTTCCAAATGTAAGTCAGTGCCTTTTACTTGAAATGCATCCTCCCAGAATTCAGAAAACAAATGCAAACCACTGCTGCCCCCTAGTGCAGAAGAGAAATCACCATACAGGGACAGAGCACTCTCCAAAGAGCTGAAAGATATGAACTGTGGTGGGTCTTGGATATGCTACTTAATTCACTCCAAATCTGGGCAAGTCACTGACCTCCCTGAGGTTCCATTTTCACATCTACAAAATGGATTTATTAATAATATCTACCTGCTAGGGCTGTGCAATGTTCATACAATTATGTGAAACTGCTTGGCACACAAGAATATATTATTTATCCCTAAGAAGTAACATGATCATTTTGTCATGAAAGAGCTCGGCTCCTTGGACACGGGCTCCATCTGTTACTGACCTGTATTTTGCCCCAGTGAAGCCACTTAACTGCTCTGCATCTCAAATTCTTCATCACAATTATGGCAGAAGGGAATAGGCAATAATAATATACGGAAGCTCTTCAAAAAAACAGTTTAACCATCCTAAGGAACTGATCTATTACAACTCTGGCTCACTCTCCAGAAATTACTTCTTATCTGTAGTTAAGTTTTCCTATCTTCTGAGAAGCAGTAATAAACACCATTCTTACTTAATTACAGCCAAGTCCTCAATTCCACCAAAAACCAACAAACTCCATCTGATATGTTCGACTAATGTAAAAATGTAACTTCTCTGACCTCTGTCTCTAACCACATTAGCTTAAAATCTAGAAAATATATAACAGTGAAATCAAGCAAAAGTCATCGGTAAATCAATGATTTCCGAAATGGGGCTGAGGAGCCCCAAGACTCTTGCAGTAGCTCTGTGGTCAGGGTCTGGGTCAAGTATCAGCTGGTAACTGTCACCATGGGTGGGGGCCAGTGGAGGGAACTCAAAGCTGGGGCGGGGTGGGGGAGGGGAGCATAATTCAATATTCTATGGGTAACTCCCAATTTTAGAGCAACAGAAAGCAGTTAGATGGTGTTCGCATTATACCTGCCCTGTTGGGTAAACATCTTTTGTTCATCTTGGTAACCTCTACAAATCAAGAGTTGGATTACACATGTAGCAATGGCTCAACATATAGACGGAAATTAAATGAGTTAAGACCATTTGAAGTGCTTAGAATAGTGCCTGACTTAGTGTTTAAATATTATCATTACTTAAAATACATCAACTGTTCATTAATTACAATTAAAGCAAAAATACTATGGAAACCTTATTTAAAAAATAAAACTGTCCCTCTCCCTAAAATTAAGATTGTCTATTGTATTAAAAATCTAGCAACTAAAGAAAAACCAATGCAATCCTTTCCATTAAATATGGTAAAAGTATTATAATTATTCAACCACTCTCAAATTGTATAATCTAAGGCAAAAAAAAAAAAAAGAAAGAAAGAAAGATAAAAGTAACTGTAACAATGATTATAGTGTATATTTACTCTGGGCCAGGCACTGGGCCAGGCACTTCATGTGGCTTACCTCCCCTTAACCCTCACCTACCCTGTGAAGAAAGTTCTACGATTATCCCCAGTGCACAGATAAGGAAATAGGAGGTGAGACCATTTGGGATTCAACACCGCCTAACCTGTGTCCTGAAGCCCCGCACCGTGCTTCTCTCCTCATAGATGATAAAGGTCAAGTAAAAGTCTCTCCTTACAGACACTTCACCTGTGAGCAGCGTGAGGCCAGGGACTAGGGCCTGTTCAGCACGCCAGGTAAGCAATAACAGTACTTGCTGGGTGGATGAAATTTCAAACACTAATACTCTTCCCAACACTGTCTGTCCGGGACCATTTAAGGGAAGGGTCTTTATGTCTGGTCCACACTGATCCAGGACCTAACAAGATCCTCAGGACATCTTTTGCCTCTTCCTGGCCTTTCAGGCTCTGGGTCGAACACAAGAAAAGTTGGAGGCCCCGATGCAACATAATAAAGAGTGATACCCTATCCTGCTGGAAAAAAGAAACAGATTCTTTAGGAAACCACTGAACTGGTTTCCCCTAAATTAATATTTAGAACATGATAAGGTATAACAGGGGATATTTAAGGATTATAAGGCTGTATGTATGCACAGGCATGACGAGGGAGATGGGGCGCGTTATATAACCGGGAATGAAGAGTTTGAACTTTGAACTCAATTGACCTGAACGAGTCCCAAATCTGCCACTTACTGGCCAATTACTTCTCCTTTATTTCGTCATCTGTAAAATGAGGAGAATAATAGCACTAAAAAGACTAAATGTGATCCCTGATGGGAACAGCTTAACACATGACCTGGAATGATAAATGTGCAAAAAAAAGGTAGTTGCACCCCACCGGTGTGGCTCAGGAGCCAGGAGATCGGGGTTCGATTCCTGGTCAGGGCACATGCCCCGGTCGAGGGCTCGATCCCCAGTCGGGGGTGTGCAGGAGGCAGCCGGTCAATGACTCTCATCATTGATGTTTCTCTCTCTCTCTCTCTCTCTCTCCCCTCCTCTCCCTTCTTCTCTCTGAAATCAATAAAGACATATTTTTTTTAAAACAGTAGTTGCTGTATTATCCTAAAACATTGTTTTTCCCTTTCCCACAAAGACCAGTTTTCAATTATTAACAACTGTGATACATCCAGTGTTGTTTTCATGTATATCAGAGCATGTTATATGTAAAAGATGAAGAAAAAGGAAAAACACATTTAACATCTGCTGTCATTAGGTAGGATTAGAGGCAGCAAAAACCCTCCTCAGGGGTCCTAGACAGTGACATTAACACTGCCTATAACTAAGTCTTAGTAGCATTTGAAGAGAAAATCCAGTCAGCAAGCATCGTTCCTCCACTACAGGTGCAGAAGGACACTGGGCAGTGATTTTGCCCCAGGACAGAACACAAGCTGGGAAGTGGACACAGAAGAATCCAGATCTCCTGACCACTAGCCCAGGGGTCAGAGGCTCTGTGTCTGTGGAAAGCTAATGCCTTCCACCTCCATTTTACTTTATTTTTTTTAAATAAGTCTTTATTGATTTCAGAGAAAGGAAGGGAGAGAGAAAAATATAGATAAAAATATCAATGATGAGAGAGTCATTGATCGGCTGCCTCCTGCACGCCCCCCACAGGGGATCAAGCCCGCAACCCGAGCATGTGCCCTGACCGGGAATCAAACCGCGATCACCTGGACGTTGATGCTCAACTGCTGAGCCACGCCGGCCGGGCCATCCCCATTTTAAAGATGGGCTGTTCCAAGTGCTCCGGGAGTCTCCTTCCTGCAGACCCAGAGGGCACATCACAACTTGTACTTATTCTAAGACTCGAATCCACTTTTCTGAAGAACACTCTGCAGCGCACACCTGATGCTGAGAGTGTTCCAGGCTGCCAGGCCCCTGGGCCACCCCGCGTCCCACAGAGAGAATGGCCACAAAGAGGATGACTGCTGAGGAGCCTTCAGCCTACTCTCAATACTTAAGGCAAAAGAAAATCAAATCAGCATGTTGTACACCATAAACTTACACAATGCTGTATGTCACCTACATCATAATAAGGCTGGGGGGTAATAAAGAAATTGTTTCTACCACTTATATTGTGTGTAGATGCCTAACTGCCCAAAAATGTCTCCAAGTTGCAATGGAGCGCATATCGCACTTTTAACATACCAACAATTATCTGCAAGGACTCACACACACACAGATACACATACATATATGCACACTCACATACACACAGATACACATACACATATGCACATGCACACACACAGATACACATACACATATGCACATGCACACACACAGATACACACATATATATGCACATGCACACACAGATACACATACATATATGCACACTCACACACACACGCACACACACACACCCCCTGAAACTGAGCAGTCCCAGAATGGAAACTTACCCTGCAATGGATAACTGACAACTGAATGAACTACTATTAATCATCATTTGGATATAAAGAACCCTTCTTAAAATTATTTTAAGAAAATGTGGCTTTTTTTAGCTTTTGAAATAAATTCTTTTTATTTTTGACATATGAGGTCAATCATCTAAAACAGGAATCCTGAGAGATGACTGTTGCAGAGAATAAGTGATTTAGGTTTGGCTACTACTTAAGGTTGAGATAAAAACCAGCGGTAGCTCATCCATCCTGCACTCCCCTTTCCATCAACTAGACCTCAGTCTTAGTGTAGAATAAAAATGGCCAAAGAAGCCCTGGCCAGGTGGCTCAGTTGGTTGGAGGGTTGTCCCATGCACCGAAAGGTTGTGGTTCAATTCTCAGTTGGGGCACATACCTAGGGTGCAGGTTCCAGCCCCAGTCAGAACCTGCAACTGATTGAGTGATGTTTCTCTCTCACATCAATATTTCTCTCTTTCTCTCTCTCTCCTCCCCTCTCTCTAAAATCAATAAACATATCCTCAGATGAGGATTTTTAAAAAATGGCCAAAGAAAATCTAAAAGTAGGGAAATTCCCAGAGTCAGACTTTCAGACCTCCCCTAATTTTATGCCACTATAAATACTCTTTTTCTAATTATATAAAGCGTGTCATTAAAGATTTGAGTGGCTAAAATTAACTAAGGTGCCACCTGAAGGGAAAAATATTTTATGCACCTGACAACAGGGCTGACAATGTGGGTCCAGAACGCCTCCTGCCTAAGTCCCGAGCAGCTCATCTGAGCATGCTCAGGAGCCTCTGTGTCTACTTCGAGAGGCCCTGAGACCTCTGGCCTCCAGGTAGGAGCACAGTCAACCAAGTTCTAAGCCAAATCTTTAATTATGGAATTAAAATCTATCACAGTGGAGTTTAAATATTGAAGACAGTCATAAGTGTTTTTGGAATTTCTTCATTAATATCATTATTGCTCTGGGGGAGAAGCTTCTTGGCTACACCCTCTTGGCAAAAAAAAAAAAAAAAAGGCAAATTCTTAATAGAAGATACACCACAAACCTTGCTTTAAAAAAAAAGCATTTCATCCCTTGCTCATAATATAGAGTATAAGCCTGTTTCACTGGACAGGTCCAATACAAGTGAGGTGTATGACAACTAAGGTCGGGTGACCCACCATCCTAGCTCTCCACACAGGAGCAAGCATGCGCAGACTCCTACGACACCCGACCACCCCCACCTCAGTCCCTGCCTCTCAAGGACCCCTCCTTACCCCACCACCACCAACTAAACACACACGCGTGCACACATGCATGTACACACACACACACTTACTTCACGCCCGCAGACTTTGCCTGTAGGGCACTGCTCCAGAAATCATCCACGTTTTCTGGCTCAGAAAAGGCCTGAAGGCAGGCGCTAAAGGGTATCTTGGCCCGAACCAGCTCGGGAAGGGGTCTTCTGTTTGCTTCCGCTTCCCTTCTCGTTAATTCATAGGCGATCAGTTCGTCTGAGTAAAAGAGCAAGCAAACGAAGGTCTTTGCAACAGCTCTTATCTTTTTGAAATGGAAAACACCCCCTTTGGACAATCTGCCCTGAAGGCTTCTGGGCTGGGGCAGGGTTGCTTCCTTTGCTGCCCTTCACAAGTCAAAAAAGCATGCCTTGGGGTGTCTTTAGATAGCACTGACAGGCCGCCCCAGCCATTCATATTTTTTGGCCCGGTCCCCTTTGAGACAGACAGGAGGGAACTGTGAACTCTGGCCCAGATAACAGGTTCAGACCAAGCGTGTGATGTGATGTGCGAGCCTGCTCTCTCATTTGTCCAGAGGTCAAGGCTTGTTTACCCAAATGCCACCTTCTAATCACAATCTTCACACAGAGAATTTCACACTGAAAGAAACCCGAGGGCTCGTCTCTTCCCAGGCCCTTCTCGATGATTAGAGGTCATGGAGGGTGTGGGCCAAGGAGCAAAAGGAACCAGAAGGACTGCAGTTGTCCACAGCACACAACCTGTGACACTGACATTGCCAAGACAACTTCCGATTGAGGTTACTCAACACCTCAGATATCAGAGCAACCAACCCAGAAGGCCTTTCTACACCATCCCTGCTCAAATGATTCAACACCAAGGGAAAAGAAGTGGGTACACTGTGAACTTCCCAGGAGTCGGCAGATCTGCTCTTGGAAACCACCTGCAAGTCAAAACCTTATATAGATTTTTAATGGGCCTTTCAGGGAATTCATTTTGTGTTACCAAAAAAAAAAACCAAAAACACTCCTGATTTTTAGGCACACTTATGTACTTAGCTGCTTTCTTAAACACATCTGACTACACTTATAAAATTCATCTCCCTATCCAGCATCAGTTTATGATGTACTTAGATCCAGGATGCTGGCATTCAGTGTTCCCAGCAATCAACATCCAGAGACTAAAGTATCAATCTCCTTTCTGAACAAAACAGTTACTATTCATAAGCAGAACATGAGCAGAACATGTGAGTCAGTATCCCCGAGGTCCACAAGAGAAAGCAATTAAGTCTAGTTCTAAAAAGGAAACAAACTGCACACTCTCACCCTCATTTCTACCCTTATAAAGGATAAGAATTTTAAAACTGGCCAAAAGCTACAGGAGCTTATAGAAAACGGAAATCATTTTACCTTGAAATCACCAGAATCATCACTTTCCAATTAGCATAATACAGTGATCACTCCCCCCCCCCCAAAAAAAAGAGAGGGAAAAAGAGCACCCAGGAAGCTGTTGGACTTTATAGAAATGACCCATTCATAGGAGAGAAGCAACCTAGCAGATATTTTGCCTTTTTCTGCTTCTAAAATGTTAATTCTAAGTAACATCGTGTATCTATTCTGCCTGGGAGGAATCAGATAAGACAGCCTGAAGGAACCTTCCCCTCAGACCCCAACCTAGATACAGTATCTCTGCCTTCTTCCTGCTTCCAAAGTCCAGAGGCCCCTCCAAGGGGCCTCACTCTTGCAACACTTCATCATCTGTAAGAAAACTCAGACGCCAGCACTGGTTTACATCATGAGACGGACGTCTGCCTGAAAGTCTCACATCAAAAATTACAGTTCTGATCATTTCCCTCAGACTTCACAGCACAACCTAGGAGTGATCAAACCAGTAAAGAACTTTCCACATGTATAATTACAAATATTTTCCCCAGAATTAAGCTGACTCCAAGCCAAACAGTTGGTCAAATTTATAGGCACTGAAATAAGTTCCATCCATAACCCTCCATAAAAATCTGTGATGCATTTGTTTCTTTTCAAAAGGAAGTTACACAGGGACTGAGGGAATGATGGAAGAAATGTGCAAACCAGACACCATCTGGGCCGGGTCTTCTCCTGACGGAACTGTGCAGTGACTAAAACGTATGATCTCTGCTTCCAAGGTTTTCACTTGAAGGAACACACTGCCAATTTCCCACTCCGGAAGCATTACCTTTATTGGTTGCTGCCTCCATGGCCACCGGTAACTGCATCAGGTAATCTACCCTCTCCATGTAGCGGACTTTTCGGGTCTGACAGCACTGAATACGTTCTTCCACCAAAAACCGAAAAACATCACTTGGATTTTCTGAGCCAATGCGGTTCCTCTATAGGTTAGATTATACCAGGTTAGTAAATTTATGAATATTAAGCCATAAATAAAAATTCACATAGAATCCAATACAATCCTGATGTAAAGAGCTGGTGTTACGAAACAATCCCTCTGAGCAGGCCATTTCACCAGAGTGCTTTAAAAGCAAAACATCGGCATTTATCGAAAGTCCCAAAATGGGGGATTGGCTTAATAAAGTACGATTGATCCTGTGAATTAATATTATGCAGCCGTTAAAAGTCATGGGAGAGGGACTGACCTGGCTGGAGTTAGAAGCAAGGGGATGAGGGAGACAAACTAAAGAGAAAGGGAGAGAAATAAAAGACCGCCCTGGAAAAACCAATGCCATGTACAGGATTACAGAAATGCATTCGTATAAATTATATACAAATAAAGAAATTGGCCCGGCCAGGCATGGCTCAGCGGTTGAGCATCGACCTAGGATCCAGGCGATCGGGGTTCGATTCCCGGTCAAGGCACATGCCCCGGTTATGGGCTTGATCAATGACTCTCTCATCATTGATGTTTCTATCTCTCTCTCTCTCCCTCTCCTTTCCTCTCTCTGAAATCAATAAAGATATATTAAAAAAAAAGGAAAAGAAATCGTGCTAAATTCAAATATGTAATGACATGGCAAAACATTCACAGCAGGTTGAGTGGCAAACACTGCTTAGAAACAGCACGTTTCTAAAAGCACCTAGAAAATGACAGTGGGTCAGACACCCAAACGTTAACACTGGCTGTCTGTAGGGGCTGGTATTATGGGTGATTTTGATTTTCTCCTTTGTGCCTTTCTGTATTTTCCACAAAGAACACATATGTAATCAGAAGGGAAAAAAAGTTATAAGAGGGGAAAAACCTTTAATCGTGAATTCTTAGCGGCTTTTGAAAACCACAGCATTTAATGGGACTCAACTGTGCTGTGAGCAAAGTGTGGCCATCTATGAGTGGTGGCAGGAGGAGAGCAAATACCACGCAGGACTCTAACGAAGCTTCGTCACCAAAACCCAAGAGAAAGGAAAAGGAATTGTGAGTGAAATAACTGATAAACAGTCCTGTAACACGTTCAAATTAAAAGGAGAACAGGAGTCCACCAGTGCCCAGACAACAGGACAAGAGGAGATATCACATCCAGTAGGCTGGTCGAGCTCCAGCAGTGAGACTCAGGTAAGTGTGTGGGGCATTCTGGCCAAGCCAGATTTAGAGGCCGGGCACTTAGGGGCTGGGCACACTTCTTACCACCCTTTGGGCATTTCTGAAGATGGCTTACTCACCTCTACTAGGTTCACCAGGTGCAAGAAGAATTCCTGGGCATCTTGCTGTCTGTTAGAGGAGAATTCCGGGTGACTCTTGCTTACAAAGGCCTTAAACATGCGTGGAGAGATCCCATTCTGTTGAGGCTACAATATATAAAGAAAATCAACTTACAATACTTTCATACACGTTGACAGCACTAAGAGGCAGGCAGAGTGGGGATTACCATAAACCTCAACTTTCAGATGAGAAGACTGAAGCCCACAGAAGCTAAATGAGAACACCAAAGTGCACTGGATGTTTAGTACATACCAGGCCCTGCCCTCCGAACCTGATCTGAGAACAAGATGGGACTCTTCTTGTTAAGTCAAAACTAAAGCCATGAGCCCAGCCTGAGTGACTCAGCTGCACTAAAGGGCTGCCCATTTGATTCTGAGTCAGGGCACATAGCTGGGTTTCAGATTTGATCTCTGGTCGGTGCACAGACGGAAGGCAACAGATCAATGTTTCTCTCTCTCTCCCTTCCTCTCTCTCTAAGGTCAATAAACATGTTGGCAGTCTGGCAGGTGGAGGCCATGTCTCACACTTCTTTCAGATCTCCTGGAAATCCCGGTCAATGCCTGGGGTCTGGAGACCACAACCCGTGTGCACAATCACATAGTCAGATGCAACAGGTGATGGAAAAACTCCCATAGCCATCGGCCAACAGCTGGCTCTACATATAAAATCTCTCGAATATGCATGTTTTAAGCAATGTTTCTAATAAAACTCAGGTGAATTTCCTGTCTTGCTGAAAATATATGTGATCTAGTTGTCCAGTATTTACTGACCGCCTACTTCGTGCAGAGCACTATTGGGGATTCTATCCTCGAGAGCTGAGACAACACTCGGATCTGTAACAAATGGGAAAGAACATTGCAGGAACTTGAAATAGCAGCTATTAGAGACTTCTGAGGGCTTGGAACCTGTACATACATGACCAGCTTACACACAGGGCTCTGGGTGTGCTTCAGGGATATGCGAAGACCAATTTATACCTGATAACAATTTTACTACCTGTATATACACTTCCTGAAAACTACGTGGAAGTTGTAACTTTCTTCACTCACGGTGCTGATGCAGATCTACACAGCATCCGCCAACATAAGCATGCAGAAATAATCCTTACCTTTGTGCGTAATGGCCAACATTTGTTCACGCGCTAGAAATTTACTCAGTGCTATGAAATATCAGACTATTCTAGGTACTTGGATGAATACTTACTAGGCTTAAGCACTTTGTATGGGCATCTTGCTAACTCACTCAACCTCATGAGGTGATTATTACTATTTTCTCCACTTAACATATGCAGAAACTGAGGCAAAGAGGTGTTAAGTAACTGGCCCAGTTACAGCTAGAAAAGTCAGTCTCTCCATGTCTCTCTCTCTGTGTCTCTCTCTCATGTCTTAATACTGCTTCTTACATACAAGTGAATAGCTCTCATCTCTGATGACCCTGAGTCTATCTAACAGATGCAGAATAAACAACACACTATGTCTTGGACTCTAGGTAAGCCCTCTCCAAACCCACCTACCACTGGGGCCAACATTCAGGCCAGTCCAGCAATCCCTTCCCCACCATCAGCAGTGTGGAGGTCCGACTCTGAAGGAATCTTTCACATTATGTGCTTCTGTTTGGGCCCTCACATGAGGATGCACTCACTGCCTGGTCCTGCTGGTGTCACTTCTCACAGGCTATGCTTAAAGCCTCACTTGGCTGCCAGTTCCCCACAAAGCAGCTGCTTTGGAAAATTCAACAAGTCGGTAAATTCTGAAAGGCTGCCTGCTGCTCTGTCCCACCATATGGCTGTACAACTGGGAGGAGATGTTTCAATAAAGACCCTGGTGTAAAGCCCAAAAAACCACAGAATACTCAGAATGAACTGTGGCCCAGCCTCATTCATTCCCCTCCCATGCCTCTTCTCTTTCTGAGCCTATTTCATTTCTTTTCCCTCAACTGACCTTTCTTAATCCTTTGCTCAACAGATGCAACAGGTAATGGAAAAACTCCTTATAGTTTGAGAAGTGTTGAACATGGAGAAACTATTTGAAAACCAGGGAGAAGGTCCCTCTCCCTCTCCCCTTCACACTGCAGACCAGCTCCTCGCTTTCACAGCTGGATTTCAACATTTTAGCTCAAACTCAGCTACTCCACACTTGATGCCTTGGTCATTAGCCAGCCCTGTCCGCCTGCACCACACCCTGCACCTGTGCTATCTCTGATTTCAGAAGGGAGGTCTCACACAATCCCATGCTTAACTATTACTGTGTTCACTTCAGATCTTGTATATTAGAAAGTCAGTAAAAAAGTTGAGCCTGAATCTAATTAAGCTTCCAGATGTAACTTCCAGCTTATAAGAAACACAAGCTAAACAACAGCTCAAGGAAGCAATCTTTAGAGGAATCCTGGGCAAGTAGTCTGGCTCCTTCAACAAATCAATAGCCTGCAGAAAGAAAACGAGGGGATTTAAGAGATGCTTTTGATACCGCAGGGAAAAATCCAGATATGGACTTGGCACTAGGTGTACAAAGGAAATGTTGCTCATTTTGTTAGTCTGCTTAGAACACTCTAAAATTTTAACATGATATTTATGGTTTAAAAAAGAAAGGGTTCTAGTTAGAAATGCATACTGAATATTTACAGGTGCTTGGATTATGTGTTAAAATACTCCAGGGAAAGGAGAGGAAAGAAAGGAAAAGGGAAGGAAAGGGTTGAGTTTAGGGGGATGGATAAAACCAGACTGGCAGAATGGTGATTGCTGAAGTTACCTAATGGTACATGGAGATTCATTATACTTTGCTCTCTACTTTTGCGTGTATTTGCAAATTTAAGTAAATTTTTTTTAAGGGCCAGGCTCTGGATAAGGCAATTTTTTTCTTATAAGAAGCTAAAAGCCAAAATAAGAACGAAGGAACTAAGTCAAAGAAACCATGTTTCCTGGTTGGCAGCGGGTTCATGACATCACCTGAGCGCCCCCATCGACCTATCGCTGCACAAGCCGAGGGGGAGAGACCAAAACTGCCCAGGAGTCAGGCCTGCCCTCAGGAAACGCACTCTCGCTGTGAACCGGCCCGCGGACACCTAACGGAAGGCTAGCCCTGGCAACTAACTTTGTAAGAGGGAGCCCCAGATACCTCCAAAATAGCAACCACCTAAGGAACCTGTCGTATTTATAGGATACTGTACTTACTTTCTCCATCAGGAATTGCAAAACAGATGAGCTAAAATTACAGCGAGGACTACGATGTTCAGAAGCTCTCCCCATTGCTTACGCAGGACTTTCTGTTGAACGCTGCACAAGAAAGCGGCCGGATGCTGTCCACTCACATTCCCTGAGCCTAATGCTTTACTTAATAAGCAAGCACAAGACAGGCTTTGTGTCACATTAGAACAATTCTTGTAAGACCACAGGAATGAAACAAAAATAAACCCGTCTCAGCCTGTCCCCAGTACACAAGTGCACGCCATCTGTTGATTCAAACATTTACACTTAAACCCTGGATCAGTAGTTCCTAACCCAGATCCAAATCCAAATCTAAAAGCTAAAGGAACAGAGAGCATTCCCCAAGCTACTTTTCATATTTCAGAAGGGGAGTTAGAACTGTTACATTTGCCTAACCCAGGAAAATGGAGGTTAGTGAAAATAAAGTTCTTACTTTGGGGCTAAAATTACATCACCTCCAAGTAGAACACTGGTTATCTCATGTTCATCAGACGCTAAAACCAGCAACTATGTATCAAGGGTTATTCAGCTGGGACATCAAATGAGTTGCTGCTTAAGAAACGCAGTTTGTTCAGAATACAAGATTGTTTAAAACATGTTATCTTTGGAAGGAGAAACAAATTAAGAGTATTCAGCATTAGAATGTGTGAAAACACTGTCTTAGAATGCACAAAAACCAGGCATATATTCTTTGAAGACGAAAAAGTATCCTTTTGATAGTGAGGAGGTTTTATTTACCACAGACACAAGTCAATTCAAAAATGTATGTAGAAATGGCAGTGCCCAAAGCAAACACTGCAAATCTTTGTACAGATGAAGAAGTGTATTAAGTGTGCATATACAAAAACTAGATTTCACCATGGTCTGCAGCAGACAGGTTTAATCCCTGGAAATATGTATTCTAGAAATGATCCAAGATGTAAGACAAAGGTGGGAAACCCATGTGACTGGGCTACCTGATAATTCTGTAAACTTCAAGCACCCCCTTTATCATCCACACATGGAGGCTCCAGGAGCCTGAAACAAGTGCTGGAACAACTGTGAGGGAAGGAGGCTAGTGCAGTGGTCACACACACAGACCTGGGGCCTGACTGCCTGGTGGAAAGCCCAGCCCTCCCACTCACTGGCTTTGTAACTGTAGGCAAAGTTTCTGAGCATCAGTGAACATAAGGGAAGAGCCTGGAATCTCATTAGTACTATGTAAGATTAGTATTTGTATCACTGGTGGTGGTGTCTCTGTAAAAAGGCATTCCCGCCACATGGCTCTGAACCCTCTCCGCTCTCTCCCCTCCACCACACATGCCTCTTGTAATCTGTCCTCTTTCCTGCTTCAGCACATCATTTCAGGCTCATCTACAAGTCACAAATGCCAGAGGCCTGGGACAAGACCAAAGAGCCCCAGATGCCTGAGAGAAGAAAGATTCTCACAACTCGGTTTCTCTGAAACCAATTGCCAGTGAAAATCTTAATGCCTCAGAAAGTAAATCCCTCCACTGTCGAGGGGAATGGAGATTTTACTGTGAATTACTTGCCTGTTTAAGCTTGAAAGTAACACCTTCAGGACCTCAAAGAAAATCACCTGGTCAAGTCAAACTCATTTTGAACATTAAAGGGACCCATTGATCATGGCAACTCAGAACAGGGAAAGGCTTTCACAAATCATCTAGATCAAGGGTTATACACCCCAGCACCCAGTCCATCAGCCAGGTCATGATCACAAAAGGACTGGAGCACACAGACAATTATGTGAAAGGAAGGCTGCTACTCAGCTCCAGCAAACTGCTTTCAGGCCTGGAACTGCCAGGGGTTCTGAGTGTTCAAGAGAAGCTGGAAATTCAGATACTTATATGTGGGCCAAGCAAAACACACCTGTAGGACATAAATGGCCCAAAGGCTGCCAGGTTCCACCCCTTGAGCCAGACGGAGCAGGGGTTCCCAGCTGCCATCCTCAGACCCCTGAAGATCACAGAGCTACCACACAATAGTCACTAAGTCCAATGACAGGGAGGGGACAAAGGTCCCAACCAGTCATTGGTTCAGCGACTGAATCAATAATATGCCTTGTTCATATAAGAACTACTTTTTTTCCTAATGTAAAAGGACTCTGTGATATTAACAAAAAGAAATTTTACTTCCAAACATTGCTAAATTGATGGAATTTCATTTCACATTTTCTCAAAAGAAGAGATTCCAAAAGCACAACAGTCATGTAACACACACAGATTTTATTTCTATTAGAGAGGGTACCCTTACACTTTCAACATTCACAACCACCTCCCAGGGCAACCCTGCCACGGGATTGCTGAGACTGAAGCCCGGCTCCCAAGTCCCAGTTAAGTCTCTTCCACCAGGGAGGGTGGACTCTGCCCGAAGAGTGGCCCAGGAAGTGACTCCCCGGGTGAAAACCCAGGACAAATGTGATCAAAAACAAAATTCTGAACCAAGTTTTTTTCACCATCACCTCCTCAAAGTTTCACAGGGCTAGAGGTGGGAGAAGCATGGATACCCCGATACTGCAGCCCTATGCCCGAACCACCTCCTCAGCTGCACCCCAGATGTGGGTCCTCCTGTTTCGGGTGGATAAGGAACTCCTTATTTTGCAAGGCCAGGTAACAATGCAAGTGGAGAACTTGTCTTCCTGCCCCCACAACACCCCGATCTCCTGGCCTAGCCATTCAGAACGCCTACACCCCTCTCCACCCTCCTCACCCCCAAACACTGCCTCCATATGTTCCTATGTTCCCTTCAAAATCTCCCTTCTCCCTATGGCTCCATTTCCCCAACTAACTGGCTTCATTACAAAAAAAGTTTATTCATTTTCGATTCTTCCTTCAGCCTGCAGGCGTTAGTTAAGGATGACGGATGTAAGTTGAGAGCACAGAGGTCAAACACTGGAGAAGCAGAATTGGAAGGACCTGCCTGCTAAGTCAAAACAGGGCACTGTGCAGGCAGAGCAGGTGCTGGGAAGTGGGGCAGGCGTCCCATTCCGGACACCTGCCGCGTGGAGCCAAGGCCGCCGGGGACGGCTGCGCACTGCGGGATTCCCAGGGCACCACGCGTACAGACCAGGGTGCGAGCAGTGCCCTCTGGGGTTCTGTTAACGGAGCAGCCCAGAGAGGCATCGGTGGTTCATCCTGCAGGCACGTGGAAGTCTTTCAATTACTACATGTAGTGACTACATGGCCAGCTGAGTTCCTCAGACGTGGGTGTGCTTACAAAGCCCCTGGCAGCTTACCAAACATGAGGACTGCCCGGCCCTCCCCAGAAACTCAGAATCCTCAGCTCTAGGGGGCCTAGGAATGTGAACAACCAGCCTCCAGAGAAACCCTAGCAAACAAAGTTGAGGCTTAGGAGAGGAAGGACACTATAAGGCCCAAGATTGTATTCCCAAGGGAAAATGCTTATATTTTGTAAAGCTTATTCCTTTCATCTCAGCTGTATCTTATGAAGAATATTGTTTCTGAAGACCTTTAGTGATGGCAATCACACAAAACATGATCATGAAGCAACTGCCACCAGAAACCCCACCCCTGGCTGTTGCTGTTTTAAGAGCATGCAGACAATGACCCTAGACTCAGAAATGAAATAGCTGTTTGAACAGCTTGTTAAGTTTATAGCCACCATTTGCCAAATCTTAGGAAATCCACACTCTAGCTGGTAAGAGCGCCTCCTCCCTACACACCAGAATGGCAGCCACGCAGACACATACCTTATGGTCATCCTTCATCACCTGTTCAATGAGTTCAGATTTCACTGGAGGTTTGGAGTACTGGCCGGAGAGAAGGCCATGTCCCAACTTAGTCCTGGACAGGAGGGAGGAACACAAACAAAAAGGTCATTGTTGTCTCCCCGCGGAGATATTAAAATTATCTGTGAACTTTAAGAAGTGCAGCTACTTTCGGGATACTTTTTCTATTGTGATTTATCTTAGTTACTCACAATAATTTATTTGGTGCTACCTGATACTGATTCTATGTTCAAATTTTCCTCAGTACTTTTTAGATCATTTTATTAATTTCTTTCTTCTTATAAAAGTAACATATACTCATTTTAGAACACTTTTTAAAATACATAAAAAAGAGAACTGCCTTGAATTCTGCAACCCAGAAAGAACCACTATGAACACTTTATTAGAGACTTTTCTTAAAAACTACAATTAGGCACTTACATCTGTGTGTTGAAATCCTGTGTTGGGTCCAAAGGAGAGTAGTCAAATATTCTGGGAAGATTTCCTACATACCTAGAAAATGAAAAGTGACAGTCAAAACACAGGAACTGAGAGAACAGAACCAAAATAAGCCAATGTCCTAGTGAAGACCTTCTTGCTGTTCTGTCAGAATTAAATCATCCAGCCCTGGCTGGTGTTGCTCAGTGGTTAGAGCATCGGCCTGGGCACTGGAGGGTCGCAGGTTGGATTCTGGGTCAAGGGCATGTACCTCGGTTGCCGGTTCGCTCTCTGCCCCCGGTCGGGGCATGGGTGGGAGGCAACAAATCAATGTGTCTCTCTCATCAATGTATCCCCCCCCCTTTCTCCGTCCCTCCCTCTCTCCCTTCTACTCTCTCTGAAAAAAGTAATGGAAAAATATCCTTGGGGTGAAGATTAACAACAACAAATTAAATCGTCTGAAAAAGTTCTTCCTGAGCACCTACCCCTGCAGCCATACTCACGGACCTCGCTAAAACAGCCCCGCTTCTATCAGTGGATCTCAGCCCTGGGTGTGAGTTAGAATCCTCTAAAGAGTGTCTTGAAAAAATACCAAACCTGGAGCCACCCCCAGGTTCTGATTTCACTGTCTGAGGCTGAGGCCTTCGGTTTGGAATCTTTTGTAAGTTCCCCAAGTGATTCTAACATGGGGCCAGCGTCAAGAACCACCGGCTTATGCCATCGCAACTGCCATCTCAAAAACAAATAGGGCCGGGAATTGCTGCAATCGCGTCGAGATGCGTAATGATGCTAATAGCCGTGACGACGCTCCTCTCTTGAGGGTTTCCCATGTTACCTGGTTGGGTCTTCGTTACAACCACATGAGAAGTGATCAGTATCATTACCCGACTTGAGAGATGAGAAACTGGAGTGAAAATTCATTAGGTAGCTTCCGAAGTCACCCAGGGAAGGAATGACGGAGCCCAGAGGGGGACCCAGGCAGCGTGGCTCCACAGCTAAGCTCTGAACACCCTGCCGGCTGTGCTGGCCCGTCCACAGGCCCTGGGGCGTCCACGCCCCTCCTTCTGGCCAGCTTATCCTGACAGCAGTGCTCACTTGACCACCCATCTCTCGGCCTGCCTGCGGCTCCCTGTCCAAGCACGGCCTAAGGAAGAAAACAGCCACAGATCGCCCCCTGCCCCTCGGCGTGGGAGGTCGAAGGCAGCCCTGCACGCGCACAGGTGGGAAGCGCCCTAAGTCAGTGCCTCCCAAATCGTCTTCGGTGACGGGCCAGCTTTTTTATTTCAACTCATGTAGATGATACATTTAAAAAATACAATAAAAACAAATTATTAGAAAAAATGAAATGCTACTTATAAAAAAACAAGGCCATGTCAAATGGCTACAAAAATTCTTAAAAGCTCGCTCACTCCGCTCTCAATCTCCATTCTGACCTCAAGGCAGAGCCGCAGGCAGCAGTGGGAATCAGTGTCAGTGGCCAGAAAACAAAAAGCCGAAATCCTGTAAGAAACTCCACCCACCAGGAGGGCAGCACTGACCAAAGAGCTCGCTGAATCTCTCCTGGTGCATCTACAGGAAGGGACCCGGCAGGCTTCCTGTGAGGACTCACAATTAACACTTTCTTGGCATAGAGGGAGGTGGCCTACTAAGGGGAGCCATTATCAGTATGACAAATTCCTGCGGGAGGTTTTCAGTTTACAAAGCTCTCCTCGTCTCACCTGATCCCCACAACGCCCGACAAGGGCTCCCACCCAGCTTCAGTGCAAGAAGTGACACCACGGATGACGCGGCAGATGTCCTGCAGCCCATGGGGACAGGCTTCCCCGCACACTGGCTTGGCAGGACTGGCCCTGGCGGCGGCGGGGGCGGGGGCGGGGACAGCGCGCTGCACAGGGGCTGCGGGAAACTCACGCTCTCTGGAACTCGGGGATGCTGAAGATGGCCTGCATCACGGAGTTGAGGTAGCAGCTGTTGCCCAGGTTCTTGAGCCCCGTGTACCCGGGGCCGTACATGGGCTTCAGCTTCGTCCCGGTCTCTTGGATCACTTCCCACTCGCTGACCCGCGGCTTGATGTCATTGTCCCGGAGCCCATTCTCTGTCTGGGGCAAAGTCATTGGAGGAAAACATGAGCTGTGATCATCACTCAAAGAGCCTTAGCCGTGATGATCACTGGATGTCCCATGAATTACTTCTAACGGCAATGGACGTTTCTGCCTCTTTTTCCCCAACTAAACACAGGATTAAACAACCTGGTTAGAAAGAGACCGAGATAGCGATGGTGGCGCGACAATGGAAATATACTTAATGCCACAGAACCATACACTTAAAAATGGCTAACATTTTATGTTATGTCTATCTTCCCACAATTAAAAAACACATCACATTTAGAAGATTTAAAAGTAAGAGAGGCTGAGAAGAAAGGAGATAGAAGGAAGAAAAACAAACAGGAATTGGGGAAAAAAGCAAGTAGAATAATTTCAAGAGAGGGTAAAACACACCCAGCAAACAGAAAGGCAAGGCAGCCTGGACAGGAAAGTGGAATAAAACCGTGGAGCTTGGGAGCACAAGGCAGGATGAAGGCCCAGAGAAGAGCAGAGAAAATACATTAACAAGTGACACGAGTGAGAGCAGGGAGCCGGCCTGCACTGCAAGGAACAGGCCGAAACAGAGCACGCACATTTAACTAGCTCCTCACAGGGACAAACATCGCAGTCACGACAGACGCCTGAAAACACGGTATTAAATGAAACAAAACTCTTCCGTCAACAACAACATGTTGGCTTATTCTTTCCACCCCCCAGGAGCTCTGCTTCCCTTCCTGAAGTTAATTAAAGTGATGTTGGTCACAGATAATTTTAAAGGTCATCTCCCTGTACCTTCTCCCTTTAGTGAACAAAGAGTGATTCATGCAAGTCTCCACCAGTGGAGATTTTGCACATAAACTCCAACGAAACAAAATGGTACTCGGCGAGATGTCATTTTTATTGTAACATAACAAAGTCCAAGCTGGTAGCCAAAAGAAAACACTAATTAATAACATTAGAGAAGTAAATGCAAACATTAAAACCTATAAGATGAAGATTCATGTGAGAGAAATTATATAGTAAGTAAAATAAAACACAGTTTCCTCCCCACCAGGCGGGAACAGAGACAAAAGTAGACGTTCTCACCCCATGCATGTGAAGCATATCGATTCCAAAATGCGCCAGGTGCTTGGCCAAGTGAGGATCCAAAACTGGTTCCTCTTCTTGAAAAGAATAAACATCTAGAGGTGAAGAGAAAACAGGCTGTAATTAGTCATTCAATAGACAACATACACTTCCTGAGCTCCTACTAGGCGTCGGGCCTGGGACACATCAAAGAGTAAAACAAAGAGTTACGTTCAACTGGGAAAGACAGATGACCAACAACAAATATAATTAACAGGTATTTCTTATAACCCTTATATCACTTCTTGTGACATGTCAAGAAGTAACATAAAAAGGTTTTCTGAAACTAGAAAAGAGCAGTGTCTAAAGTTAAAATAATTTAAAATCAGACAAACATAAATGCCTAACATTTCATTTTTCTAACCCAAACCAGAGTGGCATGACTATATGTTCAGGAGGAGAGAGGGGTGAGGGAGCAAAGGAGTGACACTGTGTGCCCACGGCAGGGAGAATCTATGGGGGACACAGGCCCTCGGCAGCAGGTGAAAGGCCTGACAATTCTGCCTTGGAACCCTCTGTAGTCTCAGACCTATCAGCTCATCAACCTCCTCCTCCCGCCTGCCCCCCATCCCTTCTGTCCCCCTTCAGTGTTCACACCTCACAGAGCTGGCAATGGATGTGTGAGGACTGTGCACTGCTCCCCAAACGTGTCCACCCCAAGCGCACACAGAGATGCTGATGTGTTTGGCACAGCAGGGTAACAAGGGGCTCTCGCCCCAGTTACAGGGTCTCATGAAAAATGCTAAGATGGAGCAGTACACAAAGGGGCACAAGCCAGGTCAGGACTAAAGTGAAGTCATTGCTGCCTTGATTCCAAACCCTCGGGCCGTGAGGAACTCAAGGGAGCTTATGTCCAGGTCAAGAGTGAAGATGACCGCCCGGCTGGCCATGGCTCAGAGGTTGAGCGTCGACCTAGGATCCAGGTGATCGGGGTTCGATTCCCGGTCAGGGAACATGCCCGGGTTACGGGCTTGATCAATGACTCTCTCATCATTGATGTTTCTATCTCTGTCTCTCCTTCTCCTTTCCTCACTCTGAAATCAATAAAGATATATTTTAAAAAAAAAGAAAAAGAGTGAAGATGACCAAAGAAGAAGACCACCTTGAGAATCTATTGAGCTGGTGCAGGGGCCAGTGGGATGGGCAACTTCACAGCTGCCTTGGGCATCTCTGGAAAACTCTTCTCCAATCACCCAAGGCACTAAGGCATGTTCTTAGGTCAACTAGTTTCCATGATGGAAGAAAAAAACACCCTCTCCTTCCTCCACGGCCTTCTCCTTCCCTTCCCACCAAGAACCTCACCCTTGTTTGCCAAATGAATGTCTCCTCCCACAAAGGAAAGCTTTTTATTTGTTTGGTGATCTGTTTCCCAGTTTGTTTGTTGCTGTACCCATGGGGACCCAGAGTGGAATGTGATATGGGGCCCATTTTTATTACCCACACCACCACGACGGCCTAGCCTGGGGGGTCAGGGCTTCTTGGAAGAACCAACTCTAAGTTGAGACCTCAATAGGAATAGGAGTTTGTCACTGAACAGGTATATCCTTACAGGGGACAAGGAATCCAGCAGGATCAAATCACACTACGGTTAAATAGTTGAGTCCACAGCCTGCTTGGATTCCATGTTTACTAAACAATATTCTAAATATAATTCAGCTTCCCACAAGGAAGGAATGTACTGGTCAAGCAGGCAATTGTGGCCCTCCTTATAAACTAAAAAATAAACACCCTGAATTTGAGACTTTGTCTCTTGTGAGTTGAACCAGCCTCAATTAGCCTAGCAAGTGTGGACTATGGGACCCTCAGCAGTGACACCTTCACCAGGAGGTGGCCACCCTGCCCCCAAAGGGCACCTTGCCCTACTGGTCCTCAGAGTACACAAGGTTCATCATATGGTACTTAAGGAAACTTTACGCATGTTTTCATTAACATATTTGGCTTTTAAGTAAACAATAAGTTACAGTTACCAATCTACTAAACACAAATTTAAAAGAAACTAAAGTAGAATTGATGCATCACATACACTTTTATAAAATAATTAGACTAAAAATAATCGCTTGTGTTAAAACCAACTCTGCACAACATGAGCAGGAATCAAATCCTGACCTTTTCTCAAAAAAATTAACATTATTTCAGCTAAATGAATCCCAGAACCCTCACCATAGGGAGTATGATCCACACTGCTGTTGCCAGTATTTTATTCATCTTTGATCAAAACGGGAGTATTTATTCAAACACTGTCAATTATATAATTTTTTAAAAACCTTAAGTTCTTCTTAAAAAAACTTAACTGTGGCAGATAATGGGTTAATACTCTTAATAGCTTAAGTTTTTTTTAAGCCAATGAGAAAACACCTACACATAAACCTACTAGAAAATAGGCCTAAGAAATTCACAAAAATAACTATGAATGGCCAAGAGTACTATAAAAAATGTTCATCTTCACTAGTAAAGCAAATTAAAACAAGACACCAGATTAGCAAAGCTTTCTAAAATTTTTGAATACCCAAAGTTGCCCAAGATTTGGGGAAATGGGTAGTCTCACACACTGCTAGCGGGAATGTAAGTTACTACAACTGTGTAAGAAGGAGACTCGGCAACTGAAAATTTAAAAGGTTCAGCCCTTTGTTCATAGGAATTTATCCTAAAAAAATCATTAGATATGCCCGGAATGCACGGCTCAGCAATTGAGCATCGACCTAGGATCCATGAGATCGAGGTTCGATTCCCGGTCAGGGCACACNTCATTAGATATGCCTGGAATGCACGGCTCAGCAATTGAGCATCGACCTAGGATCCATGAGATTGAGGTTCAATTCCCGGTCAGGGCACACGCCCCGGTTTCGGGCTCGACCCCCAGCAGGGGGCGTGCAAGAAGCAGCCGATCAATGACTCTCATCATTGNCGCCCCGGTTTCGGGCTCGATCCCCAGCAGGGGGCGTGCAAGAAGCAGCCGATCAATGACTCTCATCATTGATGTTTCTACCTCTCTCTCCCTCTCCTTTCCTCTCTTCTGAAATCAATAAAGACATATTTTTTTTAAAATCATTAGACAAACACCCGAAGATTTGTATATGTACAGGGTGTTCATCAGAATAGCAAAAAAATTATGACAATTCACAGGGGAATAGTGAAATGATTTATGGAACTATTATAGAATACTGATGAACATTTAATGACATGAAAAATATAATTAAGTTAAACAGAGAAAAATAAGGTATAAAACTTTAAACAATGTAATTCAATTTTTGTAAAAATATTGCAGAGCAGGAGGGGTCTTTGTATAAGAACTGATCCAGGCTTTAAAAAAGAAAAAAGACTGAAAGAAAATACCCTAATTGTTAGAAGTGATTTGTCTGGCAAGTGTATTACTAGTGATTTTTATTTACTTCTCTACACTTTTCTGTTTTCTAAATATGTTACACTGAACATCTGCTTCTTGTGTAATCAAGGGGCAAATATAAACTTCCCTTCCTCAAGTTGAAAGCAAAAGAACTTCAGATGTGCTCTAAATTACAGTTTAAAAATAAGTTTCACTCTAGAAAAAAGGCTTCTGGAAAATTAAAGATGCATAGGAAAATAGAATTAACCTTTGCCTTTATTATTAGCATACATTTACATAGAACAAAAGTATGTGTGCCTACTATGTGTAAGATTTTGCATGGAACCCAGAGATAAGTAAGAGATAGCTGGCTTTCAAACAACTAAAAGTTTATAACTAAACCACATATACAAACATTTGTAGTCTTGGACAGGTTGTTCTAAGAGCTGGACTTCTAATAGCTGGTCTTATCAAAGCTCTACATAGGACAGCATAGAAAGTAGAAACATTCGAATTATCCTCTCCTTATAATTTCATCCAGTAGAATTCCTACATTACAAACCCTTCTCTCTGTGGTCCCATAAAAAGGCCATGATGGTTGCCTTAGACAGCAGTCATTCAACATAGCAATGACCTGCAAACCCTTTGCTGGAACCCAAATCCAACTGCACGTCCTGAATCTTCTCTTCAGATCCTGGAAGCCTTAGGATTCAACCTGGTGTATGTAGAGTTTTGTTTGCTTGGGGGGGAAATGTCTGGCACCAGCTCCTGGGCCTCTTGCAGCTACTTTCCTCTAGTGAGTTAAAATAAGTCCCCTAACTTAAGAAACAGGAAAATTATCCAAAATGTGAATCCAAAGAACCTTGACATGACGTAACTGCCAGCCCTCAGTTATAAAACGAGTGAGAAACGAAAGCATTCGATGGGAAAGGCATGGTTGACAGGAGCTCCACATTCAGTGAGAACATCCTAGCCAGCTACTCCGAGCAGGCTAATTCAGTCACAGAAAGAGAACAGAGAAAAGACAAATATCTTCATATCGCTCCTGAAAACTCATCGTACCTTAAAAGAAGGGAGAAATGGACTCTAAAGCCTGGGGGGATGGAGAAGATGGCCCTAGGTGTTGATCCAGACCTGTGCTTAATGTTTTCAATGGGACTTAGACGATGGACGGGTTCTTACGGCCACGCTCAATATTCATGTTTCTCATTACTGACCATGTATGATTTCCTTTTTCCTCACAAAATGCTAGAAGGAATTAACTGTGTAAACATGGCCAAAGGCTCTCATTTTAAAGCATGCAGTGTGAGACCATAAAGAAAAACACAATTCTGAAGCTGACAGCAGAAACAGAAACCGGTTCGAACCCCCTGCTGCACGTGAACACCATCGCTGCCAGCGGGTGGCAGGGGCTCTGAACACACAGTATCCATCCTTTCAAACCCATCTTCTCCATAATGAGTCCGCTTGTTCCTAAACTAATACTAATCCCCATAATGAATGCGAGGGCTTCCCTGACTATCCTAACGGTGGGTCTGATTGTGCACATTCCCTTCACAAGTCCTGGAGCCTGCTTCTGCCCTCTTAGCTAAGAGATACACAGAAAGATAACAGTAACAAAAGCAGCTAACCTTTATTTAGACCTGACTGGCGCACTGGGCTAAAAGCTCATGCACCTTAACAAACCTGTGAGGGAGGTACCACGGTTATCCTCAAGATGAGAAACCTGACACTTAGAAGGATGTGAAAACTCGCCCAAGACCTCGCAGCTAATAAAAAGCAGAGTCAGGAGTCAAACCTGAGCTGCTGGAGTCTAGAGCCTACCCCTCCACCCCTCGGATTAAGGCACTGCTCGAATCTAAGAGGGAGCTGCCGCCGGTTCCCAGAGTCACACAGCCACACTCACCTGCCCCATCCGGAGTGATGGTTCCCAGTTTCACAGCCAGAGGGTAACCCGTGTCTCTGTAATGCTCCAGGGCGTGCCCATTGCCCCCAGAGCTGTCAAAGAACCACTTTCCACACAGCACGGAGCCATCGGTGAGATTCAACCAGAGGTTTTCCCGCAGGTCACACCTGGCACACTTCCAACCACTGGAAAGTCATTGGAGAACAGTTAGTACAGCTGGAATGCCACAGACTGGGGCCACAGTGAACAGTCAGTGGAATAATCTGAGACCCTCTCAGAGCAGCAGGACCCCTCAGTACCCTGCCTGCCACCAGATGGAGACCAGCTCCTCCCGCTTCTTCTCTATGGCTCTTTGACTTTAGAAAACTAACACAGAACCTGAGGGCAGAAGGGGAGGTCATTTCCTTAAAATTCTCATGTGAGGGACAGTGGAGTGTGAATAAGTTTGAAACATTAAGGATCCCATGTGTATAAACATCTAAAGGCCAAAAGCATTAACTACACCTAGTTAATGGAAAACTAGTTTAAACAAAACCCTACTAGGCAGCGAATCTAAATTAAGTAGAAAGGAAATCAACCTAACCCACAGTTAAATGTTGGGTATGTGCTAGGGACTTACAGAAACTCTACCATTTAATTCTAATAAACACCCCTCAGCACTGTATTACTATCCCCACTGTGAACAGGAGGAACTGAGGTATCGTGCTTTCACTAAGGCTACACAGAACAGAACTGCAGTACAGTTAGGGTTCAATAAGACTGGACACATTCCTAATCCGTCTGCTCTTTCCTTCTAGCACCTGCCTCGGGAAACACACCAGCACCTAACACGAGATGCTAATGTGGCCCAGAGAGTGTTAAAGCCAAAAACGTGACAACCAAAGACTGCTGTAAGTTGGCTTCCCAGAGAAGCAGACTCTGAGACAAAAATGTGAATGTGAATGGCTTGTTTGGGAGGTGATCCCAGGAAGCACCACAGGGAAGTGAGACTAGATGGGGCAGGCAGCCACCATGGGCAAGCGGGGCTCAGTCCAGCTGGGGAACTCCAGGAGACAGTTATCCCACCTGAGTGGTGGTGATCTGGGGTATTTACCCAGCCACTCCATGGTCACTGGCTGACGGCTGCTCCAGGAGGGAGCATTAACTACGCAGCATTTCTCACTGTCCTATGCACAGGCCTACCTGGCTTCGCAGGCAGAGAAAGCCCTCAAGCAAAGAGTTGCAGGTACTTGCAACTGGGAGCCTTAGGGTGGGAACAGGCTCAGGGGTATGGGCTGGCCATGTTCAGCATCCACTACTAAGGTACAGATAATTTTACAGTGAATTTTTTAAATTCTTATTTATTGATTTGAGAGGGAAGAGGGGGAAGGGGGGGAAACAGAAAGAGAAAGAAACATCAATTTGTTGTTCCACTTATTTATGCATTCATTGGTTGATTCTTGTATGTGCCCTGACTGGGGATCGATCACATCTACAACCTTGGGGTATTGGGGCAATGCTCTAACAAACTGAGCTACCCAGTCAGGGCCTAGAGAGAATTTTTGAGTTTATTTTTAATATAAGGCATGTGATAAGAAAATATACTGTCAGTTCAGAGAAGAGGTAGAAAAGTAGGTATTCTTTTGGCCAGTTTTAAGGGGTAACGTTCCATTTCCCTACCTAACGCTCACCTTGGAGGAATCCTGACTCCGTTGTCCAACTGGGTGAGGTTATTGGCATACTTGGATACTGGCAATTCATTTTCCCATGTGTCTGGGTCCTGCTTTCTATATGGAGATTTTGAGCTAAGAACTGCATCACAAGCAATTGTTACCTGTAAGACAAACCCAAACGTAATATATTAAAACAGTTGGAGAGAATACAACTTCTATAAAATAAATTTTAAAATTTATTAATAAATGCAGCTTAATCTAAGAAAATTTAAATGGTACGATTACCACAAAATCAAGATTCCTGACTCTAGCACTTTCTCCCTGGCTCTAGTTAGGTTTTGTCCCTGGCCTAGAGTTTGCAGTATTGACAAGAGCACAAGATAGCAAGGAACGAAATCCAATTTGTAAGCCCAAGCACAGGAGCCAAATTAAAAATTCCTACCTCTTAGCAAGCAGAGTGAAAAGTATAAGGTGAACAATTTACAAGGGTGAAATTAGCTACGGGAATGCCTAGGATTTACCCAAGTGGTTTTCCTCCTAACAAATATACACCCAGATACCAAATACCCTCCACTCATCACACAACGGCGTGTGGTCAAGGGCACTTGAATGGAATGCAAGCAGCAGCTTCATTACTTAATCAGGTGCAAATGTGACCCTGGACAGGGACATGCCTGGGTGTCTCTGTGCCAGATCAGTCCACATTATGAGCAAATCTGTGATGTCCAGCTTGGCACCAACTTACTAGGTTGGGGGGGGGGG